TTTATTTATGTATTCAATTCCTTGTTCCAGTTTTTACCTCCTAAGCATGCTTACCTCACAGGGTTATTTCAAGGCTGAATAGAAGTGCTACATTCTTGATGCAAACCTGTCTTTACTCCCACTTCCTCTTCTCTTTAAATTTAACAAGCAGAATTTTACTGAAAGATGATGAACCAACTCCCAAAGCAAGTTTCAATTGCTATCCAGGATTCACAAAGTTATACAATTCTGTTACGGTCAAATTTAAAAGACATTCCTATTTTATGGTAGACCAACAAGTACTGCTGTGTTACAGATCACAGGAAACAGGATTGATAATCAAGGGCATGAAGTGCTTATGTATTTGAAAAACAACTGAAAATGAGAAGGGGCAATGCAGAGAAATGTAATTATATGTAGAAAAATGGCTGTGTTTTTTTTTGTCTTAAAATAAGCTGTTAACAACTGGAGTTGGGAAATCTCTAGTTGTGACGAAGAGGGTTGAAACAAGAGCACTATAGCAAAGGTTAGTCTTGAGGTCATAACAATACTTCAGATCTTGTCAGTGAGATTTTCCTATATATGAGGGCTGGAGCATGGTGTAGAGCTTTAAAAATCACGTTTCTCTTAGAAAAGCAGTAACAAATTTAATCTTCACTAATGTATAAAAAAGGTTGCTTTATACAAGCAGCATTATTACAGCCACTTTTGCCTACTTGTCCCAACTAATTGCTATTCATACTAATTTATAACTTAATTTATGTGTCACATATATAGTACATGTTGTAATATAAGCTTTCAGTGGATGAGGCAAGAAATGAAACTTTTCTTCTTAGTTCATTCAGGTGCTAGAACTGCCCAAGAGTTGGCAAAGGAATTGTTAATTGGTCAAAAAGCTATCCTAGCAAAATAGCAGTGTTTGAACCCTAACACTGCACAGCTACTAAAGCAAAGGTAGCTGTGTGTCTACCTGATGCTAGACACATCAGCATCAAAGCTAGCTGCTTGGACAGATTTTATTTGTACCCTTGACCAATGACTGTATTTTTAAGTAGTCACAATTGACTCCAAATCTCTGTGTTTAATCTCTTCTCCTTTAATACAAAATTTGGACCTAAGCTTACTGTTTTTTAAAGTCTCATTAAGCTTTACTGCCAATGCTACTCTCTGAGTTGGACTTGTACTGAAACAACAGGCCAAGTAGAGAAGAAAGAATTCAGAAACAAATTAAAAGACATGCTCTGTTTCTAGTAATCTGCAAAACTTCTGCCTGAAAGTACTCCATTTAGTCCAGAGATTTATTAGATGATGCTTTAAAATAGGCTTTTGTCTTTAAACTGCAGTTCTAGAACGCCAGGGTTTCATTATAGAAGTTTCTGAAAGTAGTAATTACCCCTTTAATGAGCCCTTAATGATATTCTTCATAATTAGATGTACAGGGGAGACTCAGTTCAAATACAGCTGGGTGCTAGTGTGCTGGCTGAAGCAGTCAATTGGTTTGAATATATAGTCAGACACAGTTGCCTTTTGACAAAGATCATTGACCGCTGAGGACCGGCATCTTGAAATCTGCAAAGCTAAATGAGAATATTGCATATTCCACTATAAAAATGCTGATTCTCTGCTACAGCAAAGTTTGTGGTTTGTTTGTTTTGTTGTTTGGGTGGAAGGGTGTGGGTTGGTTGGTTGCTGTCTCTTTAAATCAAGCTGAACCTCAACTGTGTTGCTGCTGAGTTCAACAGTATTTTTGATTAGCTGGGATTTTTGGGGGAAGGTGGTGTCTTAACCAGGAAAACCACTCACTGAGGTACTTAGCCCAAGAAGGAAACAAAGTGATGCTCTTCTACTCCTATTCTTTCATTCAGAATTGTTAGAACGAGGTATATGAGCTCATGAGGTGATAGAAACTTTCTTACCCTACCACTGATGACTAGCTGAGAAATAATGGGGCAGAATACAGGACCAGCTAAACACAAAACTACAAAATAGAAAAGAATGACTGAGGAATTCCTGTTGTTTTGTTTCTACGTTGCTGATAATATGCCACATCCTTGACTCTTCACAAATAAAATCCAGAGAGGTTAAAGTGCCAGAAATATTTATCTACCTGACAAGGTGATCTGACAATACCTTGATTCTTGTGGAATTATTTACCTCTGAAGTGCCTACTGCTAAATATTCTTTATAATTTAATTTCTTTCTTCTTTAAAATGTTTTTACACAACCTTTCTGCCGCTCCTTTATTTCCGTGCTCTTTTTTCTACCTACAGTACAGTTCTAACCTAGAAATATGTCCATAAAGACTGGAGTAGCTCCATGGAAACTAAGGTTTTCCTTTTCAGACTGTCTAATTTTTCCTCATTTTCCTCTAACTGCCAGCTACAAGATGATCTGGCATAGCTAATGCATTGATTAAGACAGGTTGGATATACAGACAAGAATGCATTAACAAAGATTGATGTTTCCTACTCTGCTTTACAATGTGTTTTCTATATCTAAGTGCTACTCTTACCTTCTGCAGTTGGAAACTAAAACAGTAGAGCTATACATCTTTTCTGTTACAGCAAACATGCTCATCAAGCTTACAATGTTATTGCTTTTGCTGCAGAATAGAAAGCAAAGTTATAAAATTTTTACTTATGTTCTAATTTGCTCTTGAATTCAACACAGGATTCCTAAGGCTGACTGATGATCAAATTTTTCCCTTCATTTTAAGATAAAAAAAAACTTATTCTGAAAGTACAGTCTTTGAGAAAGAATACGCTCAATTGCTCAAAGAGCATCAATTTTCAGGAAACAGATGCTCTTTAGGACTAGTGTCCTAAACTTCCAGCCTTCTGACATATCCAGCAACACTGGCAGGTGAAAAAATTACCATCATTTATATGATGGCAATTTTTTTTTTTTCTCTACAAACCCCCAAGTCATATCTTGTCATTTAGCAGAGAATTATTTATGACATGCAAAGGATGAAAGACAAATAAGTTAACTTAAAATAGACAGATAATTGTATACAGGCTTTCCTATACAGTTAACAGACCTTACACGCATGTTTGGTTTTTTTTATTTTAACATAGAGCATCATTACTGTAAAACCAACTTTGCTGCCTTTGAACACCAGTCATACAAAGAATTGTATTAAACTGTTCATGAAATAGTATATCAACTTTCAGTATTTACGAGTTTGGGTTTATTTTTTTTTGCAGCTTTATTTGTAAACACACCATAGCCAAGTTTGAAGCTTGCCAAAGTGAATTTCCAAAAACTGAAAATATTAGAAGGAAAAAAACGGTTCATAGCTATCAAATTTTTAAGGAAAAAGCACAGCAGACACTTTTTAAAGAATGAAAATGTGTATCATGGATCTTAGACTTCATATTTGTAACAGAACTGGAGCAATGTGTTAACATTCAATAGTCTCCGTTGCCAGAGCAACACATGCTTGTCAGAGCAGGGCTGATTTGACGGAGGCATCTCCCTGCAAGAACAATCTGCTAATGCTTAAATATGCATCTTTAAAATTCAGTGGGATTTTCATGTGATTTCTTTTAGAAAGGTAATTATACAGTACGAGTTTACATCTCAATATAACTTACCTGATCTGAATCTATGCAACTTGCTCTTTACTAAGCCAGAGTTTTGAGTATTTAATGCAGCTAGACACAGAAGTAATGAAGCAGGCCACAGTTTTTTCATGTAGGAAATTATAAATGAAAATAATCAGACTTGGATGTCTATTTACCATTTATATAATAGTACACAAGCACTGGATGTCATTCTGTTTCCTTTGGCGTCAACAGAGACACTCTCCCCTGTTTTCATCAGACATAACACTTTGTTCAGTTTTGACCTATAGTCAGTCACACAGCAGTCAAGGAGCATTGTCACCACACACAGCTGGATTAAAGGGAGAGTTAAGTGATCTGTACAAGTTTACATAAAAAGTTGTCATGAGAGAGACTGTTTTGAAGCTTCGGATCAGTTATTACTACATTATTATTTTTACATATGTTACCATTTATATTTTCATCATTACCTGATTAAAAGAAAAAAAAAAAGCAATACAAGAAATCTCTCAGTTGATGCCCCATGCTTTACCTGGTTCTGGGAATTCATCATACAAAATACCAACTTGATTTTCATTGTGCTGGGTTGTGGTTTAGAACTGTGGTATATTTCAAATAAATCAAGTGCTGATACATTCAAAAATATATGCAGATTGAAATTTAATGTCCCTAGAAACTAAGGGTTGGAAAAAGGTTAAGTATAACCACAAGTTATACTTAATACTGCATTATTCATGCTTTTTGGTTTTACTTTTTTCTACTGGACTCCACTAGTGCAGGGCAAGTAAAGAGATTTCTATAGAAATGTTGCATCAGACTTACAACTATCTGTTGAAGAATTGATACAATCAACTTATATATACTTTATTCTGTATTCATAGAGCAAATTATTCAAAGGACTGGGTAATTTACTTCTAATAATTTATGTAATAAATTCAGCGTCTGGTAGGTTCTTTTAACTTTATATTAAGTAGCAAAAATTTCTTTATGTGTATTTTAATTATTATTGTAAAACTCATAATGCACTTGAATGTAGAATGACTTTAAAAAATTTCCAATGTTTATTCATATCAGGTGGTTTACAAGAGTATCCTAAGTATTGGCAGCTCAGGGCAATGTTATCTCAAAAACGATTCTAGTAAGATCAGAGTAATTCCCACGCCCACTGTTTCCTATATCATACTTCAATTAGGTTTGCCAGCCATATCTTTTTTCTTTTAAATAAGGCACTAGACAGAAGCAGAATTCAAACTAGCCATGCTTTTTAATCTAAGTCTTTAAAAATATAGGCTAATACTTAGAACACTAGTTCAAAATGTATTCAATTTATGACCCAACTGTCATATCTAAAAATGTGTTGGATTTCTGTATTCCTTAAACTTGGAAATAAGCTGTCAAAGGAGTCTCATACCATAGTTTATAATTACGTATGTTTTAGAAATGTTGATAAATTACCTTGAACAGGGTTTTCAGCACCAGTTCCTTTTCCTTTATTCCTTTTTCTGACGTGTTTCCTCTTTCTCTGTCAATGGCTAACAAAAAAAAAATTATATATATATATATATGTATATAGTTAAAAAAAAAAACCTTCCTCCACCACATGCATCTCTTGGATCAAGCAATAATTCTTTCTAGAAAAAGGAAATTCATTAAAATGTTATCATCTCCTTCCCTTCAAAGAAAAGCACTTCATTACAGAGTAATATTACATCAGCAGCTATTGTGGGTGTCACTAAAATGCAGTGTTTGGATACAATCTAAACGTGCATGTCAGGAAACACATTAGAATAATGGAAAACCAGGAAAGTGACAGGAAATGCTCATCTATATTCCACTGGCTATGAAGCTCCATCACATACACTCCAAATACCTGCAGTAGCTATTGACCTAATTTGGTTTTTACAAGTCTCTATCAATAAAGGTTCCAGCTGTTTTAAGAGTCTGTTAGAATGTTTAGTTACAAAAAAAGAAAAAGCCTTACAACCACTCATACCACTACAAAAAGACACAGAAGTTGTCTACTCTTCAGCAGATACATAAACCCAACCTATTACTATTGCCTTGTACATATCAAAACAATGTTAGCACATCTTCTAAAGCAAAGGACAATTATTTCCTATTATTGATAGTTTTCTTTATGACAGTGTAATTCCTTAAATTATACTGATGATGGGGAAAAAGAGTCAGAGGATTACCAGTCAGGGAGCCTCTTAATCTGCTAAATGTGTATTAGCATGACTGCTATCAGTCATAACAGCACTGATCAGATGCAGAAAGGCTTAAGACCTAATAAATTCACACATACATACTGTGATTTTGTAATATTATCATATTCTTCTACAAATATAACACACAGTAGACTTCGAAGTACTGTATGAAGTATGGAACCTGTAAAGTGCCCAAAGCTGTTACGTAAGATCACATAAAGGCACATTAAGGACTAGTTTATTACTCCATTCAATTCACCTATGAGAAAATAAAGCACTCCTTTTGCTGCAGCTGCTGAAAAACAGCTGCCTGGTACAACTGAGACTTAGTTCCTGGGCAGCTGCTATACTTACATGAAAACACTTGGTAGCTTTTTGGAAGAGCTGGAAAAAGATGTGGAACTTCAGCTGCAGTGTTTTCAAGTGGATTCAAGTATAAGATGACTACAACATCTTCTTTTCTACTACTGCATGCTACTGCTATATTTCCCACTAATACATGAAGAAAGAAAGCTGGTATAAAATTTATTCTTCCTTCTAAGCTTAGTGTGGTTTTACTCCATTATTTTCTCACTTTCTGGTTTTGCATGCTGGTATTTGGACCAGGAATTGTTAAACATACTTTGCATTCTCAGTAACAAGAAAACCTCTCATTAGAATTCTAGCTCCACAACCCAGTCACTGTAATTACCTTTTAAAATACCCAATTTAACTCTCTCAGCTAAGTTAAATGACAATGGTTTCTATACCTTCCCTAGAGGGAACCCTGATTATTTAGAAAAAAAAGCACAATATCAATGTTTACAAGGTGTGATTACAGAACACTGGAGTCCTCCATTAAAGGAATCCAATATGTAGAACTGTACGAAGCTGAAACTGGGTTATCACAACATTTGTAACTCAAGATGTAACACACACACGTTAAATGTCAATCTTTAAAACAGAATTTCAGGTTTGCAATACGTAACTGACTTGCATACAATATTCCTCCTTTTCAAAAATACATTTTTAAACCTTCCAAAATATACAGCTAATTATGAAATTAATCTATAGTTTTAGGCCTTCCAGCTCTGGGGTCTGTGGTATTATTTAAATGCATCTCTTCATGAAATACACCTTTATTTCCTAACCAAGCATCCTGGACTCCAAAAGATACACACAGTATGCCATCTGAATATCTGCATCATATGCGTGTGTTTATGCAGGAAAAGAAAGGTATCTGCATACATGCAAATGTGAATTTAATTTGCTATACTTACATACCTAAGCTATAATGCAATAGTATGTTGCCATGGGAACATACTCTCAACAAAAGTAGGAAGCAGGAGATCACACGTAACAGGCAGCACAGTTCTGGGTGGATTTTGCACATGTTATGTCAGGGTGGATAGCAAACATGCCAAAGCAAGGCTAACTTAAAGTCTTTTGTTCCCTAAGCTGTAATGAGGTTTCATTGATAATTTTGCATGACGCTTTAAAAAAAAAAATTTAAAAAAATCTGTAAAGCACTATTTCCTTCCAGGTGCACAAGAACTCTTTCCCCTCACCTTTATATTCTTTAGCTTTCACTTGTAATTTCCTATCTTGTTATCACATCTTTCCCTTTTGTTTTGTTTCCCCCTAAATGTATCCATAATGCTCATTTGATTATTCATTCTTCCTGTCTATTGGATACTTCTCCCTTACTGTGTAAAATTTTTTCAGGACTTTTCACAATACTCTTCAATGTATTTTGCATTTTACCTTCTCTTTACCCCCTGAGCACTATACACCTTTCCTCCAGCAGGGAGACCTACATGCAGAGCCACTGTAACAATACTCGGAGGGGTATTTTCAATTCAACATTCAACAAAGCTGAATGCGTATTTCTTTCATTTCCTCAAAAGGCAGTATATGAGAATGAATTCAATTCTCTCATGAAAAGAGGCCTTTGGGAATCCTCAAGCAAAATGTGCCCTTAAGAGTTAATTCTGCTCTTCCTGGTTCAGCTTGTGCATAGCTGACAGGGGATGATTACTGCCCAGGAGACCACATTACCTTGGTCACTACTTTACCAATAATGCAGGTAGCACATAAAATTATACCAAAATAATTTGAGGTGATCTACAGAGAAAGTAAAACTACGTATTCAAAGATGATAACCTAATCCAAGTTTGGTTGGGAAACATTTATAAGACTTGTAAGCTAGTTTTGTCAGTTTAATGTGCATGTCAAGTGAACTCAGAGAACTATTTGTTCTTTCAAAATCCCCTAACACATCCATTTTTTTTTTCCGCATTTTTTGCCTACTGTGCATAGTAGCAGACAGGATGTTTTCTGTAAACTGATACAATATAACCTTTACATCCTAGTACAGTGTTTTGAAAGCTTACACCCCTGAAGGCTTTGAAACCAAAAGGTATACAAGCAGCCAGGTTAAGAATAGCTAAGGACAGTGCCACTGTAGCAGAAAAAAAAGACTACTACAGATTAAATCTGTTTTGTTAATTCCTTCTTTTCATATGCCCTTGAAAATTTTATTAAAGATTTTTGTAATTCTTAACACATAAATGGTATTTCATGTCTTAATAAGACTTACTATGCATTGAAGAATTCTATAAACTCAGAACTTGCATGAATAGCAGTCTGTCTTTAGGTATAGAAGCCATATTGTACTCTATCTGCCATTTCAAACTGTTAGCCAGACATTGGAAACATCAAGAAAATGTTATCTGAAATGGAAGCTAATATATTCACATCAGTTCTACTTTTCCAGTTTTCTGATTTCTTCTTGTTTCATTGTTTTTTCTCTGCATCAACAGTTGCAGGAATTTGTAAGTTAAGTATAGAATTTTTAAACTTCCAGGAGCTCAAGTTCCATCTGAGATCTGAACAGGCAAGCTGAGCTCCTTCTGCTACACAATACTTACACCATCAGTTACCAGTATTGTGAAATTAGTATTCTGCAGACATATTTTCCTAATGAATGGAACAATCTGCTCTTTCACATTCTAATTATAATTCCCATAAAAACTAATTTTGTAAGGTAACATTTTTAAACCTCCATGAATCAGAATTTTTACAGATAACTGTAAATTCATGTGCATACTTAATATTTAAAAACTGTGAGTATGAATGGCATGTATATATGGATATCCACTGAACAGGTGTATAACATCCATCTGGTTGAGGGATAGTGAATTGTATTAATCACTTTCTGGCTTTGCTCTAAGAAGCAAATCATAGCTTTTTATGTGACAGTAAAATTCACTTTCCCAAGACTGACAGGCACTCAGTTTTCAGTGCCTATCTGGGCTGGTATTCTGTACAAGTGGAACACTACCTTCCTCTTAAGGGAAGAGTCATACTCTTTTGTTTTTGTGAGGAAGTTCAGTTTATGACTTCCAGTGAGCTTGGTCAGGGCTGCCTTTCACCTATAATTATGAAAGGCCTAAGCCGGATCAATGAAAACCGATGCCCACTGATTCACATCCTGCTGTGGACCAAGGTCTACTAGGGGTATAGCACAGTTTACAGAAACACACTCACAGCTCAAGTTTTTACAAAATTTAACATGCAACAAGAATAATGTTATAATTAGCTTATATACAAACAGAAAATATTTCTGAATTATTCTGTTTACATTTAATGCAACCAATTAATTAAAAAAAACAAGATCTGCAGTTTTCCACAGTATTTCGACTGACAATAATTTTCAAATAAAATAATGTATTGCATTTTTCTAAGAGATACCACTTAATCTTTTCCATTTATACACTATTACTTCAACTGCTGCTAATTGTAAATACAGGGGTTCTAGAGTTTGCTGTCATAGTAAGATTACTCACTACAAAAGCATTTCTCTTCAGCCAGAATGAAGAGAAAGTTGTATTTGTCTAACAAATATCTTAAATAGTTCCCAGTTCAGCTTAGCTGCCTGCCAGACCATAAAACAAGCTGCTTCTACACTGCTCTGCCTGAAACTGTTAAAAAATGAGGCTAATTTAGAAAATTGACACAAAATAAAAATTGGAAGCACAAAGAGCTTGGATATAGTGAGCTCCTTCATTGCTCCTTCTTGTTCTGACTAAAATTAAAGCATATCCTTATATGAGTTACTCTGAGGAGGGGAAAAAAAGTACCAGGTATTAATTAAATCAACTTTGTAAAGGGACTTGAACACCAAAATAGCTCCAAGGTGTGTTCTAAGATGCCAACAACAGCGTGACATACCCAACTAGCTATCAATGACCATTCCTGTAATAAATTCAGATTTCTTGAGAAGTGTTAAAATTAATTTCCTGTTGTTGTTTTGAAGATCAGGCTTACTAAGCAAAAAGATGGTA